TGACTATCAACCTTTTTTTTATTTTACTAGTTTATTGGAGCCAGGATTGAAAATAAATCAGACCCAAGTGAAAAAGGTACATACATTGCAATTAGTTGTTTTCTTCCTTATGACTCTCTCTCTCTCTCTCTCTCTCTCTCTCTCTCTCTACATATATATATATGTTTCCTACTGTTTTTTTTTCTTTGAATTTTTTGGGTGAAGGAATCAGATTATCTGGTTGTTTTCCATGACTTTGAATTTGTTGTTTGTATCTACACAGAATCATTCGATATATCCCCCTTTTGTATTATTTCCTGAAAATTTATTAGATCAAAAGGCTGGGTCAACACAACTGGATGATGTGCAGAGACTCTGGAGTGCTTGTTCCCAAACGGGATGTCTTTATCAAGCCCTCTCCTCAAGGTTCAGGGATCTATGCTGACGAGGAGGAGGAAAGATCAGAAGAGCCAGTCATGGTGCTGACACCAAGGAAACAGTGTCTTCCAGACACCGCAGGACTGAGGCACAGATGAGCCCACAGAGACTGTGTCAGCAAAGAACATTCAAGCCAGAGGGGGTCCCGGCACTGAGGAGGGGCAGTGGACACAGTCTCCCTTATACACACACCCCAAGAAGCCATCTGCAGCTGACACCTGCTGGCAAGAGGAAAACCAGCTTTCTCGAATGGAAGTCACTAGATACATCAATCGCACCCCAGGGCATGCCGCATGCTCAGGAATAAGTGGCCAACACAAAATAAACTATATGGGTTTTTTTTTGTTGTTGGTTTGTTTTTTGAGAGGTTTAAGGGGGGTGTGTTTGGGCTTCTTTTTTCTTTTTTGTCTTACTGATTTTTTCATTGTTGGTTTTGATTTTGGTTTTTTTTGGGGGGGTGTTATTTTGGTTTTGCTTTAATTTTTTTCTTTTTTTTCTTTTTTTATTTTTTTTTTATTGAAAAAATTCTGCCTCCTCCCAGCTTCCCATCTCCTTCCCCCTCCCCCCACTCCTTTCCCCCTCTCCCCACTCCTCTCTCCCTCCCTCTTCAGTCCAAAGAGCTGTCAGGGTTCCCTGCCCTGTGGGATGTCCAAGGTCCTCCCTGCAAATAATCAAACAGATTTTGCTTTAACTTTTTTAAAGAGAGAAAGTACATAAAACTGGGAGGATAGGGAGATGGAAAGAAAATGAGAGGTGTTGGGGGAGGGGAGAAAATGTAATCAAAATATATTGTATGAAAAAAATTTTAATTAATTAATTAAGTCCTGGTCAAATTTAGATTCAGTCAGCAAGGTCACTACACAGGTACTAAGCAATGCTGAGGCAACTCTCAGGGGCGCATTGTCTTAGTCAGGGATCTCTGAGGCACACAGCTAGCAGAATGAATACATATTGAACCAGAGAGATGTCTCCGAAGGTAAAGGAGTTCGCACCAAGTCTTACACCCTGAGTTCCATTCTCGGGTCCCACATGGTAGAAGGGAAGAACTGGTTCTTGAAAGTTGTTCTCTGACCTCCACACATGTACCGTGGCATCCATAATTCTACACTCAGACAGACAGACAGATAAATGTAATTAAAAGCATAGCATCAAAAGCATATATATATATATATATATATATATATATATATATATATATATATATATATATATATATATATATATATGGGTATTTATTAAATTGGCATAAACAATACTGCTATCTGCAAGTCAGAGACATTGAGATCCCAATAGCCGTTTTATTTAGTACATGTGTCTGGACGCCTCAGCGGTCCCAGTATGGTGCTCGACAGCCTGGTGGCTTCCCAGAAAGCCACTGGCTTTCAGTCCACATACGAAAACTGAAGTAAAATGATGTCCAGTGTTAGCAAAGCAAGGCAACAGCAGCAACGAAGATGTGGTCACCAGCGTTGACAGCGAGCAGGGAAAGCAGCGCTTTCCTCCCTTAGATCTTCCATCTACGATCTAGAGGTAGTGCAACCCATTCTGTGCGAGAGTCTGCCCCCTCAAGCGATGCTTCCGAAAAGTCCTTTCACAGACTGTTCAGTTGATGGATAACTAGAATTAGCCATTGCACTAATCTGTATTGGGTGGGTACCCATGTATATGCACATAGCGGGTGTGCTCATCCTCATGGATGCACATGCAGAGGCCAGGGGGAGAGGCCAGGTGTCTTCTCATCTCGTGCATTTCCTGCCAATATCTAGAAATTGTAGGGATAAGCCCTCCCCTTGGGGGCGGGCTGCCCTCAGGCGTATGTTTACTGATATATTGTGCGGGCAGAGGCTGCGCGCCCCTTCCCCTTCCTCTCCTGTCTCCGCTGGTTACTCCGCTGGAACCTTGGTTTCGTGAGTCTGGTTTTGCTATTAAACTTGTTCAAATATCTATTACTGGTGATTTATTAATCCGACCGCTGCAAGAAATGGCCAGTCTCCAAAGAGCCCCCCATAACTTCTTGTGGGAAATGTCAGTTGAAACCAAAATTTGGTGGGTTGGGGGTACTCTTTGCTACTACATTGTGTTTGTTTTGAAACTTTGTTTGTTGTGAATAAACCGAGCAAGCTAAGAAAAACTTCTTATCTTTCTTAAGACAGAAGCATCCTAAGGTCATCTGGATATTGTGATTTAAATTCAGGACAAACGAGTTTGATTTAACCTGACCTATCTGATGCCTGCAATGCCCAAATCCCAACTTCCAATAATGCTCTATGGCTATTCCTTTGTTTCATCCCACAGTGTATACATGAAACCCCATCAGAATAATGCCAGCTACTCTAAAACAGCCAAGAAGCTGGAGACACAACGTCAGCAACAAAAAGGCAGAAGTGTTTTCCACTGAATGTGTTTACTTCCAGTATCCATGATTAGAAACTTACTGATAATCATATATCAAGTGATTAAAAGAACACCACACTCAGGGATGGAGACATGGCTCCATGGTTAAGACCCCACATTGCCCTTCCAGAGACCCTGAGTTCAATTTCCAGCAACAGCATCAGTGGGCTCAGAAACGCCCTCTTCTGACCTGTATGGGCACTGCACTCGTGTGAACACACCCACAGACATGTAATTAAAAATAAAATCTTTTTCAGATAAAGAATTCCACAGCCTGTGGACATCTCATCAGTCTGATGTACCATGTGTCTTGTATTGCTTTTCTGGAGATTTATTTCTCAGTTTGATAAATTTATAATAGCTTAAAAATGTACCTGCTTCCACAGACAAATTTAAAAGAAAGGGTATAGCCACACAATCTAGTTCTAGTTCTTGTCTATATTTTATAAATGTCTGGGTATATAATTTGGTTTAAAAATAAATGCGAAAATGTGCTTTCATTTGCTGCACCCCAAACTTTATAAGATGGAGAGTACACCATAAATTCTTTCTTGCCTTGCTTTTTCCACTGACATATCCTGGAAACCATTATTACCACTATACTGGGGCGCTCCTAATTCCTGTTCAGCGGTTCATGCATCCTCAAGGTACCAATGATAAGATGACCTCAGTTAGTTCCTTATTTAGGAATATTTGAGTGTTCACAGGCTTGTTTGCCTAGACAGGATAGCACTTAATATTGTCTCCCACATTCATCAAAAAAAAAAATATTGCTAGACAGTTCTAGGCTCAGTTTCCTGACAGGGGCTATATAGTTTTGCTTCCATCTGGAGTACCAGAGAATAGCTGCATCTTCAGGGCAGCCTACCTGCGCATGCTGTCACCTTTGGATTGCCACCCGTCTACTAGGTGACAGAGGGTTGCTTGTGTTGTATCTGGTAACTCTAGAATCAGTCGTTTCGTGCCTTTTTATAGCTTTAAGTATAGGTTTTGTGAAATTGCTATTCATATTTCTACTTGTTTTCCACAGATTTGGTCTGATCTTTTTTTCTTTTTTAAGCATCCCTTCACACATTACAGATTCCAGACTTTTGCCGGGCGGAGGTGGCGCACGCCTTTAATTCTCTTATTGCTTGTAATTTTCTTCTTGATTGAGTTTTCAAAATATGAAACTACACAGACTGTTAATGGGGTCAGTTTGGCTTCTTGCTTCAAAACACATGCTTCTCGTGATTATCTACTCCAGTTTAATGCAGTGTAACTAAGTGGGAAGCTCGGAACTTAACCAAGGATGCTTCAAAATGTTTCCCATTTGTCTTAGTTAAGGTTTCTATTGCTGTGGAGAGACACCATGATCATGGCTACTCTTTTTTTTTAAATATTTATTTATTTATTATGTCTGTGTGTATCTCTGCAGGCCAGAAGAGGGCACCAGACCTCATTACAGATGGTTGTGAGCCACCATGAGTTCAATTGCTGGGAATTGAACTCAGGACCTTTGGAAGGGCAGGCAATGCTCTTATCCACTGAGCCATCTCTCCAGCCCCACCATGGTTACTCTTATAAAGGAAAATATTTAATTAGGGCTGGTTTGCAGTTCAGACATTTAGTCCATTATCGTGGGAGGCATGGAGGCACACAGGCAGACGCGATGCTGCAGAAGGAATCGGAGAATTCTATGCCTGGACCAGCAAGCAGCAGGGACATTGGGCCTGGTTTGAGCTTCTGATACATTTCCTCCAATAGTATTACACCTACTCCAGCAAGGTCACACCTCCTAATAGTGCCACTCCCTATGAGCCTTTGGGGCCATCTTCATTCAAACCTTGCTTGATCGCTGGCCCTCGTCTATATTTTTAACTGAGATTGGTCTATAGTTTTCTTATTTGGAGAACTCTGTGATGGGCTTGGGAATCGATGTTTTATATTTTTAAAACAAATAGCCTAAACTTTTCTTCTGTGTTCTACAATAGTATTGCAAGCAAGCATTGCAATGATTCTGTCAAACTATCTCGACTCCCTGCTCCTCTTGAGAAAGGTTTCCTCCACGCCCTGCAAAGCAATGCACCTGTCTCAGAACGTAGCTGGGGCCCGCCCTTTATAAAGACCCGCCCCTTTGCGCAGGCGCGCTTGCCGTCCATCCAGCCAATCGTGGGACACAAGCATGGGGGCCGGACTTCCTGCTCTATCAGTGCCCTAGCAGTTCGGGTTCCGCCCCCGCCAGGAGCTGGGCCAGAAGATGGCGGCGGCCGCGGAGCTGAAGCTGCTGGAGAAGTCTCTGGGACTGAGGCCGGGGAATAAGTACAGCGCTCAGGGCGAGCGACAGGTGAGGCGGGGCACCGGTGGGAGAGTGGCGAGTTGACCCGGCGCCTACCGGGACTCGAGAGTAGACTCGGCCGGGGCTCGAGAGTGGAAGCGGCGCCCCACGTGTGTGCTGGACGGGCCGCAGGGCTCGGTCTGGACCTCCAGATCAGTGTCATCATCCCCCGCCCGGGAGCTGAAAGCGGGTTCGGGAGGCGTGGGCAGAGCCGGTGGGTTGAGATCACTCCAGGCGGATCGTAGCCGAGAGTGCTTCTTTTATTCAGCGACCACCTTACGATCAGTCACGGGGATGGGGCGGGGAGGCGGCCGGGAGCTCACCCTGCAGGCGAACAGAACAGAGTGATTCCTGGAAGCCTCTTGGCGGAGAGAACAAGGAAGGGGCTCTGCTCATTCTGGGGACACATTGGCTTAGATATGCAGGGTGCAGAGAATTGAAGTTACCCGTTGTGGGTCTGTGAGGCTCCTGGTGAGCTCCTGGTGAGATGTAAAGATACCTATTTTTTAGGGTTTTGGAAATGAGTTGTTAATAACATAATTTGCCCTGGAAAGACTACTAGAGGAAGCATGGTAGTGGGAAACGCAATTTGAATGTGTATTTGGGGGAGTCGTTCCAGATAACTTGCTCTTGTTTGGGCCCTAATGTTTTTGCATTAGGTACAGGTTAAATTTCTGTCCAAAACGTAGAAGTATTGTGGGGTTTACACTAACTTAAAGTGACACTGGAAAGGTTAAGCCTTTGATAGGCTGCAAAGGCCAGCCTTCCCAGGGGTGATGAGGTTCTCCGTCTTCACCCGTTTCGTTTGCATCAGCCACTACTCCCACGTTTGACTTGGGAAATTTGCCAAGACATGAATATTGCTTTCGAAGATTACTTAGTATGAGGGACAGTCACCAACAATTAAGAGCCCAACAGGACAAGCATTGAGAAGGAATACAGTGAGGACTGGCCCAGAGGAAGTGGGAGATTGTTTTTGTTTGTTTGGGTTTCGGAGGCAGGGTTTCTTTGTGTAGCCCTGGAACCCACCTGCCTCTTGCCTCTGCCTCTGGGAGTGCTGCTGTCAGAGGTGTGCGCCACCACACCCAGGTCCTAGTTAATACTTCCACCGGGCGTGGTTTTTAATCTTCCAGATAATCCAAGGTCCTCTTGTCTCCGAGGCCCGCTCGTGGTGCACGGACAGATGAGGCAAGCAAAACACCCATATACATAAAATAAAAAATTTAAGCTTAAAAGAAAACCAAGCAAACAAGCAGCCCTCATTCTTGCGGATTTTATAGCCTATAAAGGGGGAAAGAAACCTGTTTCCTTTGTCTTGTAAGGGTTTCAAAGTTGGTTTTAGGTGAAGTCTCTGCGAGTTCTCAGAGCACGGCGTGTTGGGTCATGGGAAGGTTACGTTTCCTGCAGTCTCCCCCGAGTTAAGTGGTTCCCATGAAGAGGTGATGAGCATCACTCCCCAGAAGGAAACATCTGATTGCTGGCACAAGTAGCTCACACAGGCTACTCGCCTTTGTGGTTTTAGAACTGCTACAAGGCACAAGCCAGGGTTGCTGAGGCCCTGGTACAGAGAGTCTCCTCAAACTTCTATAGGCTTTGCTTAAGTAAGAAACTTTTATGGGGTGGGAGCTGTGGCTCGGAACAGGGAAGGCCCTGGGTTCTATCCCCAACAGCACAAAAATAAATATATAGATTTATTTTACTAAACCAATAAGGTTCTAAATTTCAAGAAGCTGTATAATCTAATTGCCTAAACAGGTATTATTTGGTTTATGGGTAAGGGCAATCTCTTTTCTTGTTTTTTCGTTTTGGGGGCAGGGTCTTCCTATGTAGCCCAGGCTGGCCTGAAACTTGTAATCCTCTTGCCTCAGCCTCCCGGGTTGCTGGGATATCAGGCATGGGCCACTGCCTGTGCTCAAGTGTGGGGAATTGTGAGTGAAATTAATAAAGTATTGTGGTTTCTGTTGTTTTCTCATGTTGTATGCCCCTGGTTCTGAATTTTGGTAACATTTAGCCAGTATTACTACCAGTTACATCATCCAGCATGCCATTAAATTATAAACCCTATGACTGCTGGTGTCCTAACTTTCAGTTATATATAATTTAGTATTATAGAGCATTTCCAAAAATTGGGGATTTTAGTGCTTACCTCCAGTTTTTAGTCATGATAGTCTTTTTTTTTTTTTTTTTTTTTAAGGTTCCAGTTCTGCAAACAAACAATGGTCCCAGTCTAATGGGATTGGCTACCATCGCGACCCATCTAGTCAAGCTAGCCAATAAAGAACACTTGCTGGGGAGCACCCCAGAAGAGAAGGCAATCGTTCAGCAGTGGTTAGAGTACAGGGTCACCCGAGTGGATGGACACTGCAGCAAAGAAGACACCCACACTCTGCTGAAGGTATCTTAACTGTGTCTGTAGGCTGTACTGCAGAAGCCTCGAAGCGGAAGACCTTCCCCTCAGGGTCGTTACTTCTGTCCCATTCCCCTTTACACTGAATGAAATAACTGAGTCCCATGAGGCATCTACACAGAGACCTAGCCGAACAGTGGTTACCAGTGCCTAGAGGAAAGGGAGAAGGGGAGCCATTTAATGGCAGTGCTTTAGTTTTGCATGATAGAAAAGCTCTGGAGATTGGTTGAGATTAGTGTGAAACTGAACATGCTTATCTATACAGGCTCAGCCTTCCAGCTGCATTCTTAACCATTCTTGAAATGGTTAGGTGGTACACTTTATGTTATGAATATAATCCTAATTAAAGTATTAATATATAACAAAGTTTTTGAAATATATACTATTTATATGTATTTATAGGTATGTATATATGTGCATATCAAAAACCAATAACAGTTTTCTAGAGATAATCATCTGAGAAATTTTTTATGTTGGGAAAAATTTAACAATAGCATGATTTTTAAATTTTATGTCTATAGTTTATGTGCACATGAAGGTGGTGTGTACACGTGCAGGCGGAGGTCAGGAGCTAATCTCAGGTATCTCCTATTTTCTCCACCTTGTTTGGTTGAGACAGGTTCTCTCACTAAACCCAGAGCTCACGGGTGGCTAGAGAAAGTTGGCCAGCAAGCTCTGGGGATCCCGCTGTCTCTGCATCGTCAGCACCAGGGTTACAGGCAGGTACTGACCTACTACTGAGGCATCTCCCTAGCCAGAGTGAGCATGGTTTAGACATGATAAGAACAAAACACTACACTCTGACATGTTCATAGGTGGCATTTATGGCGTCTGTTGTTTTGTTTTGTTTTTTTCTTTTAGATGATTGGCATCTAATTTGTGATTTCTATTGTCAATATTTGTCTGTTTTACAAGCATCTCCTCAAACTGCTCTTTCCCCAGTCAGCCTGCCCCATTCTCCCAAGAGCTGACGTGTGCCACCACAGCCAATTTAAAGATTATGTCCAAGAAATTAAGTCTCACCGGGCAGCAGTGGTACACGCCTTTAATCCCAGCACTCAGGAGGCAGGGGCAGGCGGATCTCTGTGAGTTCAAGACCAGCCTAGTCTAAAAGATCTAGTTCCGGGACAGGCTTCGAAGCTACAGAGAAACCCTGCCTCAAAACCAAAAAAGAAAAAAGAAATTAAGTCTCAGTCCTTTTCTTTGGCTAGCCTTCTGAATGTTTAAATCATATGTCGCAACAGCTCATTATTACTCTTTTTAAATTAAAGCATTGTTTTTCTTTTTTTAGGATCTTAATTCCTACCTTGAAGACAAAGTCTACCTTGCGGGATTTAACTTTACATTGGCAGATATCCTTCTGTACTACGGGCTCCATTGCTTTATAGTGAGTATTTATCTGTAATATTCAGAATCACTTTGTAAACCCTAAACCACCACAGTAAGAAGTGATACAGTTAGATTCTGCCCTCTGCAGTAGCAGGTTCCACATCACCAGACTAAGACAACCACAGAACAGAAATACAGAAAAAAATGACGTCTGAACTGAACACGCACAGACTCCCTCGTCTTTACCTTACCACTACATTGTAACATCTGCTCCTACAGAAACTAATGAATTGTTTATTGTTAGTTCACCACTTAAGCCATACTTCTCAATTTGGATTTGCTTAACTTTATTAAAAGTTATTCCCCAAGTTGGGAATGGCGACACACACCTATAGGGGCAGGAAGGTTGCCCCAAGTCCAAGGCTAACCAGAAGTACATAGTGAGATACAGGACAAAGGCTTTCTAAAGTGGGTGCATTATGTTCTATAACACCATAATGGCCTAAGTGATTAGCTTAGCGCTCCCTGCTATCCACTTAAAATTATCAGGAGCCTCCTGAGTTGCCCACCATGCTGTATTTCAGAGGGACATAAAAAGAACATAAGCCTTTATCTTTCTTTCTTTCTTTCTTTCTTTCTTTCTTTCTTTCTTCCTTTTTTTGCTTGCTTATTTGTTTGTTTGTTTTTGTGTGTTAAGACAGGGTTTCTCTGTAGTTTTAGAGCCTGTCCTGGCTCTTTTAATCCCAGTACTTTGAGGCAGAGGCGGGCAAATCCCTGTGAGTTCGAGACCAGCCTGGTCTACAAGAGCTCGTTCTAGTACAGACACCAAAGCTACATAGAGGAACCCTGTCTTGAAAAACAAACAAACAAACAAAAAAGAGGTAACACAGGGAAAAGACACCTGACAGATATGACAGAAAATGATTGTCCTTGGCTAGCCAAAGAAATTGATGTTGTTACGTAGTTTCTAACAGGTAGAATGGCCATATAATTTCTCATCAAAAAGGAGTGTGGCAGCTGTGACAGGATGCTTTTCGCTACTCTGCTGGTGCAGGGAAATACAGTAGTGGGTGAATAGTTCCGGAACTTAGATAGAATGGGACTCATTTACACAAAGCCAGGAATGCTTACAACGGTGTCTTATTTCTTTTTCCCCTCCTGACTCTCAGCACAGTGGCTTTTACAGGTGCAAGCTTATGAGATTAGCAGTATTAGGTATTATGTACTGTATGTGTTCCTGTTTTACTTCATTCGTCTCCAGTGAAATGTAGAGTTTAGTTATGTCCTTCAGCGCGTTTAGAGTGATTTATTTACATGTGAAGAAAGCATCACTGGAGCTGAAACATCAGTCACTGCACCTCTTTATTAAGCTCTAGCTTCAATGTGTCTTAGTAGCGTCTTGAACTTAAAATGATGACGTGGCACAACTTAACCTCATTCCAAAAAAAAAAAAAAAAAAGCCTCCAAGGTAAAAAGGATTTGCTGCCAAGGTATCTAAGCATCTCTCCTGGTGGCAGACACAGTCTTTCAGCTTGGGGGCCCCTGACTTGACATGAGCAAAACTAACTGCCTTACTTACCCGGGTATCAGGACAATTACACTTCAGCGGAGTTGTCCGCTTTACACACTTAGCACATATTTTGTGTTATCTGATATTTAATACTGGGAGAAGTGTGCAGTGACTATCCGCAAGCTAGTGATAGTCTGCAGAGCTCTAAGGTCTGGTCCTTTAGCGTGGAGCTGTCATGAAGAAGGAAGATTCCTCTTGTCTAATCCACACAAATAGTAAAGTGTGTGGAACTCATGCAGACTAAGTGCGGGTTTGCATTCTCCTCTGCTGGGCTCATGCAGATCATGGGAGAAACCTGTGTAACATTGCTCTGCCTTCGCAGCGAACAAAATCATAATTTTATACTGCAAAATGGTGCAGTTGTTTAACTGTGAGTCAGGCCTTTGGTTTTCAGGAGACTTTCAACTGTTTCCCTCAGTTCTGAATATTAAAATCAGAGTTATCCTAATCTTAGCCATTTAAACCAACTGACATTTCCTGTTCTGGAATATGTATCTTCTCTCCCTGTAGTGACTGTTGAGATTAGAGGTATTATGGTTATCATTCTCAAAGCAACATTGAAAAGAATAATTCCTAAATCTCTTTGTTGACCATTGTTTTAGGCTTGTACAAGTCAAAGTGTGTGCCCTTTCTTAGTGCGAGAGCAGGCAAGGTATTCACAGGAAGAAGGACCTTCTGAAGAATAGGCCTCATAAGCTAGAACTCTGGTGATAGGGTGACAAATGGTGTTAAGTGGCATTTGTTAGTTGGATCTGAGCATACACAGGTGTGAGAAAAGTGACTGCTAGGTATTAAGTCTGGCTTGGCCACGGCTTTTCCAGCTTTGCTGGGTTAACAGTACACTGATACCTGCCCAATCCTGCATTCCTTCACTTAGTGTTTTATGTTGTTGAATCCTTACTCTGTAATCAGCACAGTCCATGAAACAAAACCTTTAACAGTCAAGGAACCTCTGGGTCATCAAATCACACACACACACACACACACACACACACACACACACACCCCGATTGTTTCTGTTGGCTGAGTTTTCTGAGACCAGGTTTAACTTAACGCATCTTGGCATATTATATTATGCTTTGTCAACAGTGCCCGAGTTGTGACTGTTGATTCCAGCTCGAGTACCAACTGCTTTCTTCTGTGATTCCACTAAGTGACAGTCCCTTATAATCAGACCATCTCAAGATTGTTAGAACCCTTTATGACGCTGTGGCTGGCCCATACGACTGTTCTGAGCAGAGATGCATTTGTTCTGAGCACCAGTGGGATATGGGTTCTTGGAGAAAGAAAGGAGAAGGGCAAGAAGTCAGTCTGAAGCAGTCCTGAGAACATAGACTGTCGGAGACAGCCTGGTGCCGGCGGAAGGATAAAGCCTGCACTAAGGCCAGGCTGTAAAGAGTTGGTTTGAATGTTTCCCACATTTCTTAGTGGAAAATAAGTAAACCAGAATGTTATCTGTTTGGCTTTAAGGTTCAAAGTAATTACTAAGTTCCAATATAAACAAAAATGAGTACTTAGGAGAGAGGGCCGCCAGCACCAGCAGAGACACACTGTTGTCTAGACCAGTGAGAAGCAGGAAGCAGCTTTTGCATTGTGTTACCCATGTAAAAAAAAAAAAAAAAAAAAAAAAGGGGAAAGTAACTAGGTGGTAGTGATAGAAAGCTGTGCTGTAAATGAAATAGCCCAGGGATAGCATCAGAACTGTTTTTGTAAACCTGCTTAGTTTGTTGACAGTAAGTTTATGTGAAAAAATGTTTTTTTAAAAAGTAGCAGAGGTAACATGCCAAGTTTAGTCATCATTTTCTCAGACTCAAACAGAAGGGCATTAACAGTGTTCTCTGATCCATTCAGGAAGCGTGTGTATTGCTAGTAAAAGACTTTAAGTTAGCTCAAATCAACCAAGACTACTATACAATAGATATCTTCCAAAAATTGTCAAATTAAATTTGAAAATATTAGACTTAGAATCTATTAGAAGCCAGGCAGTGGTGGTGCATGCCCTTTAACCAGGGAGGCAGAAGCAGGTAGATTTCTGTGAGTTCTGTGGTCTATAGAGTGAGTTCCAGGATAGCCAGAGAAACCCTGTCTCGAAAAACCAAAAAGAAGGAGGAGGAGAATCTATTAGAATAAAATGGTTTTATCCTTAGGTTAGATTATAGTCCTTATTAGAGTGTGGACTTAGTAAGGGGAAGCTTATTTAATTTTGATTTATGTCATCAATTGGTATTGTTTTAAATAATGGGCCTAGTAGCAACAAATACTAGTTCTGTATGTTAGCAAATGTTTCACAGTATAGAATATGAAATATGCATATTTCTTTTCACCTGGTTCATAATCTCAGTGCACAAGCTAAAGAGAAATCAGATAATTCTTACTACCTTCGTGTTTGGAAATGTATTATTCTGTATTTTATTGCATCTTGAGAAATACCACACCATGAGATGGTTAAGTGCAGTTTTGGTTTAATGAAATAGAATAAAATTCTAAGAAGTTTATCGTTTATTCTTTCATTTTGCAATCAGTACTGGGAATGAAGCCTAGGACTGCTAGACAGGCATGCATTCTGCCACTGAGCTACACCCCTGTCCCTAAACTATCTTAAAACCTTGCTTTTGAGGACTTAGGCAACTCAGTGGTAAAAGACTTACCTGACATGGCAAGGCCCCATATTCAACCCTTAGCACCAACCAAACAACACGAAAAGAGCAAACAAAAACCCAGTTTTCTCTTGAAAATTTATAATATATTGGTAGAATTTTTAAAAAGTTAATTTATTTACAGTGTTTTGAGTACAAACTAAGGCCCACAAGTGTACCTGCTATTTCTATGTTGATGTAGCACATGCTTCTGTTATTTCTGATGTAAAAATCAGGAACATGTGGTACCATAAATTCTCTTGTAATAAAATTAGCCTTTACAGTAAGGTTGTTTGGTAACAGTTACCGCACACTAGTGTGTCCTCCATCTCCTAGGTGATCTTCACAGGTATTTGTTTCTTAGGCACACCTACGTACAGCCTTGGGACATCATCTCACTAAAAGTGCCTCCAGACATACAGACCTCTGCCTGGTGTGGGCCTGTGGCGCCAAATTGTTTCTGTGTTTATTTTCTTTGTGTTATAGAGACTTACAAGTTCTTTATAAATGTAGAATTAACCACAGGAGAAGGGGCTATACCACCCACACATGGGATCATGGCTGCCAGTTATCGTCCTATTTGTCTTCCTCTTACTGAACAACTTAATTCCAAAATTTGTCTTAGAGAAAAATCTTGAGTTCCCATCTACTTTGGAATTTGATCCCAAGGGAACGATCAGCACCCCTGTCTTTGCATCCAAGATAGTTAAGTGCCTTGAATCCCTGCTGCATCTAGTAGAGTGTAGGTCTTTACTGCCCACAGGTTGAGGTGTGTTTAATCAGCTCCTTTCTAAGTCGTGAGCCACTAGATAGCCTTTTCTTTTATTAAACTGTAAGCACTTAAAGTCAAGCAGGTCACTGTCTTCAAGTGGGGTTTCCCTCTGAAGTTGAAAAGGAAGATAGCAATAGTCTCTGTGTGTATGTGCATGTCTGTGTGTAAAATATGTATATATACGTAAATAATGTGTTTCCATACTCTTCTTTTTATTAAATGATATTCTCTTGTTAAGTATGTTAGACATCAAAAACTCATTGTTTTTAAGGCTTGCTTAGAAATCAGATAAAGAAAGAACCTTAGCTTTTTGAAAGCTCTTCTCTAGATAGATAGATAGATAGATAGATAGATAGATAGATAGATAGATAGATTTAGATAGATATATTGCCTTTTTGAGACAGGGTTCTCTGTGTAACTGCCCTAGCTGTCCTGGAACTAGCTCTGTATCTGCCTCTGCCTCCCGAATGCTGGCATTAAAGACGTGTACCACTACCACCACCTGACTTATTTTCTTTTTTCTAATAAAGTGATGAAAAATCCTTTGGGCCTCTAAATTCTATATTAATGTCAATTTTTGTATTTATGGAAAGCTTGATATTTTCCTAGAAAGCACAACTGGTTTTGAACTGAGCATTAAAATACTAAATGTATTGACTATCAGAATTGCCTGCAGCTTTCACTTCTGTGTAAACATGTTGACTTTGAAAATGGGGGGATTAGGTGTCAGTCACCTCCCAGTGTTGACAGCTCTGCTTGTGTACTGTGAATATTACCTGTTGTTTTCACTCTCCACTTAGGCTGACCTGACGGTTCAGGAAAAGGAGAGCTATCTGAAAGTGTCCCGCTGGTTCTGTCACATCCAGCACTACCCCGACATCAGGCAACACCTGTCCAGAGTTGTCTTCATCAAGAACAGACTGTATGCTAACTCCCACTAGAAGCCCCTGCTGTGCAGCAGCAAGATTGGACAAGTAATGGAAAGTGTATTTTGGACCATGGTACTAATGTAAATTAACATGACGTCGTTTCTTTGTTAATGTTGGTAGAAGTTTTAAAGTGTAAGTTCGTCTGAATGTTTTATTTGTCCCTTAGTTGAAGCTTTGCAATTTTTTAATGTAAAAATTCAACTCTTAATCAAACAAATCACGATTGGATTACAAATTATCTCGTATTTATAGGTTAAATTTATTAATAAAATTTGGAGATCAGTGGCTCAATCTTAAAAAAAAAATAGTCACCCTGTCAGTGTTTCACATCTGGCTTTTTCATGTTTTTAAAATTCATTTTCTTCTTAGATATTTATAGTAGTTTATTAAAACTTATGATAAATTATGCTAAGGATTCAGAAAGGGAAGATGGATATTTGTTCTCAAAATATTTATGTGAGCTAGTAAATGTGAGTTTAAAAATCAGCTCTGCTTGTTTCTTTCTTTCCTGTAATCAGCATTTACTGAGGTGACACTAACTTCTGAGCCCCCACCAAGAGGTTAGTTAAGGGCCTTCCTTTAAGCTAATGACTTCCTCTTGTCGGGCATCTTGAAAGACAATGTGACTTAGGAAACTGGGCATCAACCATCTCATCACGTGACAGAAAGCCAGCCAGCACTCTCAGAGTCTGCCACTGCAACACTGAAGAGCAGGGACCCTGGGACACTGTTAATCACGGCTCTCTTGATTCTGTAGCTCTCACCAGTGTGATAATCGTGGGTTATTGAGAGTTAAAGAGCCTGTCTGTCCAAATAAGAGAAAACAGAGTTGGGCATTTCATGACCTTGCATGTTCATAACCCAGCTGTGGTCATTAAGGATCACAGATTCCAGGGCAGCCTAGACTATACAGGGAAATGTTGGCTTAAAGAAAACAATGGAAGGCTAGGGTATAACTTAGTGGTGGGTGCTTGCGGAGCACCCCTAGTCCTGTGTTCAGCCCCCAGAGACAGAAGGAGGGAGAACCTAGGTAGTACTATCCAAAGTTCTAGGGAAAGAGTAAGAAATTTGAAAATACTCAGCACCGGTTGAATCTTAGTGTTACTGCTAGCTAAGCATGAGATTCTAAGCAAAGCAAAATCCCTGCTTCTAAACATTACTACAGTGGAAATCACAATCTTTCAACACTTGTGCTTTTGGGGACATCTTAGCTCCAAAACATGAGTGTTCAGTAAAATAAATGTACTTACAACGTCAAAGAGCAAATGAAATGGTTGCACACTGTAGCAATCGTATGACAAGGATGTAGCTCAGTAGAGAAATGGTGTCAGTCCGAATTAGACCACTCTCGCCCTGTAGTAGTGATGAGACACTGGTTAAATCCATGCAGCTGATGAAATTCCTGGAGTAGAGGTCGGAGTCACTGATCTTGTCTCACTTGGATGGTAATCATAAAAACTGGAAGTCAGTCTCTTCCCACTCCATCCCTGAGACGCCAGCCTGCTCAGCATATGCCTGCATCTGAGACAGGACCGAAGGTGGCAGTGCTTCATCTAATTGTGGAAAAAATAGTCACGTTATCGCCTGTAAAAGCCAGTCTCTGTTTCCTTCAAGGTGTTGTAAAGTGTTCCTTATTGTTTGTTCTTGTGCTTCTGAGGTGTCCATGAGATACACCTGAAATGTGACCGCTCCAGTGTGTGCTGCTCCTTCTGAAAAGTGCGTGTCTCTTTTCCACCAGTTCTGCCTGTGATGCCCCAAGACCTGCTGCGCTGGCCATTCAGTGATTGCCCTAGTGTGTTCTTAGCCCTTGCCATAGATAGGGTTCAAGACTTGGGGGAACATACAACACGTTCTTGCTCTTAGAGAATCTACACCCGGACTGCCTGTGAACAGGCTCCTGAGGGAGGGCACACAAAGATTCTTTTGGTAGCTGCCTGACCCCATCATTGTCTGGAAGTAAATACTAAGTATCAAATATAACTGTCTACTGTGTTCTGGGCCCTGCACTGGAAACTTAATGTTAACTTGTGCTGACTTACAAAGCAAGGAGGACAGACTCTGCAGCGTGAGGAGCAACACTTCAGACCATAGTGGAGTAAATGAGAATTATATTAGCTTTCAGGATTGGTGACAGCCTGTCCATATTGTTCAATGATGCTCCCATGCTGATGGGTCTGTATTTTGCGTACATGTCTATTTTCTACATACAAATTTCAGAAACAGATAAAGAATTCCAAGTAGGAAAGCATTGCCTTTCAGTCACGAGTTCTTGGGTTCCTTCACTAACTAGGATAAATACTAGTTTAAGATAAGAAAGTAATATCAAAAAAGGTCATTTCTTCATAGACAAAGTTACATAAAATTCATGTATTTTAAGTGAACTTCTAGCTGAACGCTCCCCCAGTTAATGGATTATTTCAGTAAAGTTTTTATAGACATAGTTGTTCCCACCATCTATCTGCAGACAGAAGAATGGTGTGAGGAACCCCAGCTGATAACTGGAGCTATAGATAGTACCAAATTCTACATATACTATGCTTTTTCCTATATATGCATGTGTTTGATGAAAATTACAAATTAGGCACTGTAAGAGACAAATGATAGAGTAACTTTGGACAATTAGGACAATACATTTCTGCCACAACAGTTAGTCTGACAGCCAGGATAGTTACTAAGCTACTAATGGGTGGGTAAGATATACACCGTGGATACATTGGCCAAAGGTAATTGGCATTAGGGCAGAATTTCATAAAGCTGCTCCAAAATCATCACAATGTAACATGAATTGTCTATTCCTTGGAATTCCCACTTTAATATTTTTGGTCTACACCTGGCAGTGGGTAACTAAAACCAGCGTGAAATCTTCCATGGGATGGAACTGCCGTACATGGGAATTTTCAGGTTAGACACCGGTGTCACCTCCTTCTACCTATAATTAGGGGACAGAAACAGACACGGAGGTTTCCTACAACGACAGGACAAGGTGACAGCAGCAGAAAGGATTGCCCACTGCTAGCACATCATGTCACCGCCCCTTAGAAGCCGATCTGATTGAGGAAATCCTTGCTGGAAGTCTCTCCAGAATTGCCTCAAGATATGATGATAAAAATTTAAACAGACCTACAATTAGGAGAGTATAGAACTGCCCTGTAGTCAGCTACACATACATCACTCCAACAGATAAAATACACAAGAGCTGACAAGTAGTCAGAATCACTGTGAACTGTCGCCTTTTCAGGTATATTTTTTTTTCTTAACATTTGACTTCATTCCTTTAATAATAAAAAAAAGACAAATGTTACATGAACTTTAATATTAATCTAGCTTTGGCAGAGACGTGGCGATTTAATGGATTAGTGGATTTAGCTTTTTTTACCCCAGAGAGCAATATTTCTTCTTTCTCCCCATAATTAGATAATCTGCTGCTACCCATTACCAAGGGCACTAAATTTCAGATTCTCTGTACACCTCAACAGGCTGCTACATATCTGGCCATCTTAATTTTAGTCTTGATTTATGGAAGCTGAATTACATCCCCAACCCTTCCTGGAGCTCTGGGTGAATTTCATTGCGAAAGCAATGGAGAGAAAAGTTAGCATCATATATCTCTCTTGCCGGGCAGACTTTTCGACACACAAGGGGCTCCCACATCCCGCTGTTCCACGTCTTGTATGGTGGATTTATAACACTGTGAAGCTCAGCTCTAGGGTTACACACAAGCATATCACAGATGAGGTGGGGAATTTGATTTTTGCAATAATGATTCCTTGCTGCGGAGCCCGGATTCCTGTAGGCTCTGCCTCTATTCCCCAAACTGCCTGTGAATGAAACTAATTCCTGCTGCTTCCCAACCGAGTCAGACTCCTCTCACGGAGCAGAGGGAGGCCGGAAGAAGGCAGGTGGAAAGTCAGGAGAATCCAAGACCTGGTCCTCTTTTCTGTTATGTCTCAAGTGTCTCTACTTCCACAATTATTCTGATTTTTAAGATTATTGCTTCCTTGTGAGGGAACAGAAGCCCTGAACCTTTTCCAGCTCGGTGAGTTCATTTGAAAGTTCCTTCAGCTGTCGCTTCCTCTTCCACAAGGCCAGGTCCCTAGGGCTTGCCGGTTGGATTATAGATCCCGCAGATTTGGCCTGCCGTGCCTGCTGAGTGTCATCTGTCCCTGCAATCTTGCCATGAATAAAATTTATTCTCCCTCACATCATCTGCTTGAGAAATCTGTGCCCGGCAGGCCTGTCTGCCCATGTTAAGTTTGAACTACAGTAGCCATACAACTAATTTGACAAGGCATGACTTTAAATAAGAAGGCCCCAGGCTTGTTTTGACCAAGATGAGAAACTTCCAACCCCCAGATTACCAATTCCGAAGTGCAGTCTCGGAACTGGGCCGTTCCTGTGGTATAAGCTATCAATCTGCACAGCCCATGTCTCCTGCTCTCCTGTGGCACTTACCTCACATGTCATAAAGGTCCTTAGAGACTTTTAACTTGCCGCCTGGCCTCTCCTGTCCTGTTTTCTGCATATGAGCCCCATCTGTTGAATTTAAAGAACTCAGTATAGCAGAGTCCCTTACGCATAGAGGATAAACTCTTACCATAGAGGAGACATTCTGATGCCTCGAGTTGATGCCTGGAACCCTAAGTAGTACGTATGTTAGCTTTCCATTCCAGATAGCAAAATTCCTAGGATCATGCGCTCAGAAGATAGATGTATTGTGCTTGATGGTTCTGGGAATTCCAGTCCATGGTCTGCTGGGCGCTTTTCTCCTGATGCTTTAGCACCTGAGGTGAGGCAGCATATCAAGGCCGGGAGCATGTGAGTTATGTGCTCACCTCATGGCCTGAGTGGGGGGGGGGAGAGAGGGGGAGGAGAACTTCCTTCAAGGATATGCCACCAATGACCTAATGATCCTCCATAAGGCCCCATCTTTCAAAGGTTTCACCACCTCCCAGTAGCACCGAGCTGATGTCTGAGCCCTTGTTGACACACAAGCATTTGAAGAACATTTCAAAACCCAAACAATAGCAGTATCGTATAAAGTAGGAATATATATATATATGATATATATCCCTTTATTAAAATCCAAATTATAAGTTAGACCCATTAGTTAATTTTTTTGTTGCTGTGATAAAATACCATCATGACCTAGACTTTATTTAAGTTTATGGTATCAGAGGGATAGAGTCTTCGTGGTGGGAAAGGCATGGCATGAAAACAGGAACAGGAAACTGGCTGATCACATTTTATCTGCCTGCAGGAAGCAGAAAGAGAGCAGGAAGTGGGATGAGTCTGTAGGTACACACACACACACACGCCTCATGCCAACACTTGCCCAAATAAGTGACATACTTCTCCAACAAGGCTACATTTCCTAAAGATGGCATAACCTTTCCAAATGACATCACCAACTGGGAACAAATGTTCAAATACATGAGCCTATGGGAGCACCTAAATCATCACAAGCATAGATAAGAAATGAATAACTAAAAATAATTATGTGTGTGTTGTAATTAATTTAAAGCATGAGTTATTTGTCTGTGGGACTTTTCGTAACGGACAGTGGGACAGCCACAGACAAAGCAAACACTCTTCCACCCTTGTTACCAGATGCCTGCAGGGTGAGTAACGCTTGCTTGGTACTCAGCAGTGATTCTCTGATTTTGGATGCACAGAAACCATTTGAGGCTTTTTCAAGTGGATTTTTAGACTCACTCATGTTTCAGTTTACAAGATCTAAGAGTCGGGGGATCTGAGAATGTGTGTATCTAAGTGATGACTGTCCTATATAGGCAGAGTTTTTCATCGGGACTGCCAGCTCCCCAAATAACTACACAGAGATTTATTATTAGTTATAAATGCTTGGCCAATAGATTAGGCTTGTTACTAACTAGTCTTTCAACTTAACCCATATTTCTTATCTGCATTCTACCACATGGCAGTATCCTTTTTCAGCATGGAATATTCATCTCCTGTTTCCTCTGCATCTGGCTTTTGACTCTGCCCTTCTTCCCAGTGTTTCCTCAGTCTGACTCTCCCACCTGACCTTTTTCTGCTTAGCTATTGGCCAACTGACTCTTTATTAAACTGATGAGAGCAAAACACCTTCACAGTGTACAAAAGGATTGTTCCACAACAGTCCTGTGAGAACCTCTGTTATACCTATTCCAGCCCAGAGAATTGTCAGCCTCCAAGGTATCGCCCCCATCCCAGAGCTCAAGTCTTCCTCTTTTGGTGTGGCTGAGTCGAGTTTTATTTTTTCCAGCATCACTGGGATGACTTGGTGGCTTTGTTCCAATGGCACAGCTGTCACAAAAGTTTCCTCACAACTCACGGAGCATCCTCTAAATGCCGTGTCGCCAGAAGTTTCTCGCGGGGAAACTAGCAGCATTCAGGACAGGAAGGTTCAGTATGAGGTCTGTGGGACTGCTGCCACCAATGAGCCCGGTGATGCTCGTTCACAGCACGGTGCCTCCCACCATGCTGATGTTCACACTGGGCATGCCATATGTGTTTCCTAAGCCAGGAAGTTAATGCATAGAAATTTACCCCCAAGACCAAAGATCCTCTCTTCTCGTGTGTGCACACATGCACAGTGAAATCTAACTAAATCAACTGTAATTTTGATGTGTTCAGAAATATGCATAGAAAGCTCCATTAATCCAGATACAAGAAAGAGAGTAAAATCCCTTCAGAAGAATGATATAGAGTTCCTCTGTTGCGGTTTGGATTTGAAATGTGCCCCCAACACACACACACACACACACACACACACACACACACACACACACACGTGTGTGTGTGTTGAACAATTGGTCCCTAGGTGGTGCCACTATTTTGGGAGGTGGTGGAGACTTTAGCAAGTGGTGTGTGGCTGAGGCATGGGGTCACAGAGGCGCACCTGTGAAGAAAGGACATGTTGCCCCGCTCCCTTC